GACCCCTGCTCTACCCCATCTTTCAGCTGCCAACTCAGCCCCTCGCCTTCTCAGCCTTGCCCACTGCAGGAAGAAATCCAAGGGCTGCCACCCACAGGTCTGTGACATTGAGGACTTTGAGCGCAGGTGTGGTGCCTCTGACCCTCTCTTGGTTTGCATGAAAAACTTTCCAGGGCTTTCCAGCACTAAAAGCTAAACCCAGAAAAGCAACCAGCATCTGGCTGCCTCCTTCGCAGAGGCCCATCACATCCATCATCTGGGCAGGAGAAGAGCTTCCTGCAGCCCACAACAGCATCCCGCAATTTCCCTGCAGAGTCCTTGTCAAACTGAGCTCCTGGCTTCCGTTCATCCTTCAAAGCAAAGAACATGGCGATGATCTGAATGCAGACAAGAGCAAAACTCCCAGCAGCAGCCTTCCTGTTCTCAGATTTAGAGCAGAATGAAATTCCATGACAGCATCCCCCTACCCCACAGAGATTCTGAGATGACTCAGGCCACAGTTGAGGGTGCACAAGTCCTAGAATTCAGAGATGGTTGCACACCTTGCGCCCACAGCCAGGACCTGGGTCAGTTTCAGAGTCCTTCCACTCACAGGGATGGAGTGAAGGGAGCAAAAACAGCTCCTAACCCTAGCTCTGGTATTTGGGACTTTTTCCTTCCTTGTCTTGTGCCCATCCCCAGCAAAATTCCCTGGTCCTAGACCCCATTCCTTCAGGTTTCTGGTTCATCCTGGGTGGCCCTCCTGTGCTTGCCAGTCTGCTCCTTCCAGCAGATGGTGATCCAGGGCAGCACCGTGCCCACAAAAGCAGCACTGGCATTTCACTGAGAACTGAATATTGTGCTTCAAAGTAGGCCAATATCCCAAAAGAAGCTGTAGGCTAGTAGGGGGTTGTGGTTAGGGACATAAAACTGCTCCCTTCCCCCCAGGAAGGCTCTTAAAATCATACTCCCAGGTCCTCCTGGAGCCACAAGACCTGACCCCCTAAAGGACATTCTCGGCAATGGTATTCTGAGAGTGTTCCAGGCAATGGAAAAGGGACGGTATTTGGGACATACACAAATATACACCAACAAAGCAGAGGTTTCCATCCCCTAGGATGCCAAGGTCTCTAATTAAACTGACTCCCAGTTGTTCCCTTGAATAGAGAAGCAAATCAGAATCTTTGTGAGGGACTCCTCCCTTTCCCCAGACACTCACCATCCTACAGTGACCCCCTCCACTCCCCCTCCCACTTCACCCTACCTCGACACTCTCCCTGGCCTACAGGTGCCTGGACTCTTCCTGGGGAGGCTGCCAATGGGAAGGGGGGCAGGGTGCTGAGCACCAGCCAGGGAAAGAGTTCTCAGGTCTTAGCAGGACTCCTCTTGCCAAAGATGGGAAAAGAAAAATGGGACCAGAGCTGATTCCAGGCTGCCCAAGAGCTGGGATATCATCGTCTTTCTCAGCAACCATAGCAAGCCCCCACCTGCTCACTCCCCAGGCTCCTGGTAGGAGCCAACAAAACAGATCTGTCTTCATAAATCCAGGCCCTCTCACTGACACGTCTCATCTTTTAAAAAGACAGAGAGGGACGAAACTCCCCGGTCTCTTCTTGGATCTCAGTGACAGATTTTTTTGATTCACCTCATTACCTCCTCCTACAGGGGCCCATTCATTTCCACCTCATTTTCCTCCCAGTTCTCATTCCTGTCCCCATCCTAGCATATCCTGATTTGGTGGGGGGGGAGGGGGGTGTTGTCTAATTTCACCCAGCTTTCAGCCTTCCAGACATGGCCTCACTCCCTCAGCACTACTCTCTGGATTAATATAGGTTCTTTTTCCTACCCCTCTCCTCGAGATCAAAAGCCCTGGAAATCTTTCAATCTAGCATCTCAGGAAGAAACAAATCACGAGGCAATGGTGTAAGAGGAGGCTGACCTCTGGGCTGTGATTGAGAAGGAATGGGAGACAAGACTTCTCCCTCTGGCCTGGAACTCTTTCTGCTTCAGTTTGCTCTGTTGGTGGCCTTTGCAAAGATCTTGGACCCCACCATTCGCATCTCTGAGTCCCCCACAGCATCCAGCAGAGCAGCAGCACAGAACACACACTCAGTAAATAATTGATGAATGCAATCCCTATAAAGTTTGACTTGTTCATTGAACACTACCTAGAATCATCGATATATTTCAAAATATCAGACTCTTGGAGTTAGAAAGAACTTATAGGGGTCATCAGGTCATCAAATTCACCTCCCACCCAGCACAGGAATATGTACTGCAGTGTTACTGACAGGTGGCTATCTAGTTTCCATGACCACAAATACCTAAGGCAGCCCAGCCTCTGTCATAGTTGAGATCTCCAGTTATGAGAAAAGCCTTCCTACTGTTTACCATGAATCTCCCCTCCCCACTGCTTCATCCCACACCCCTTCACACAGGAACTGTTTGCAGAGTTTGTGTTTTCTGCAAGAGTGTAAATTCCCTGAGGCAGTGCCCAGGGCAGACTGGCTTGCAGATTGGTTTGCTAATTGAAGGTGGTAGAAAATTCTCTCTAGAGCACTGTGTAAGTAAGACAGAAGGAAAGGAAGCCAAATCCCATGGTTCCGCCCATACTTTTCCCAACTCTACACAGCCAGGCCCCCATCAAGAGATAACAACTTAAAACCAAAAGATACACAAAAGGATTCTAGGGTTGCTGGGCTCTGTTCCTGACCCTCAGCCCCATCCCAGGCCATGGAAAAATGTTATTGATGACACTTTCCCCTCAGGAGGTATGCCTACAGAGAAAGCAAGGGTGAGCTTTCCCAGACTGAGAAAAACAAAACCCTACATCTTCTGCCCACTGCTCAGTGTTCAGGATACTGATAAATCCACAAGATGGGAAGACAAACAGCAGGATAAGTTTAGATTCGATTTCAAGAAAGCTCTTCCAAAACACAAATCGATTGTTTCCACTCTGAGGCTTTCAAAGAACAAGATGCCGCCAGGCATTTGGATATTAAGTGAACAGAGATGCAAAGATACACTATGCAAATAATAGTCACATGACAAATCTCTTTAAATTTATAACTTAATACCTCTGGTACTGGGCCACAGGCCAAAAATGGACCAAAGCACTTTCTTGTCTGTGTTCCTGGGGGCTGCAATTTGGGCCTTGGCCAGAAAAAGAGTGGAGGGAAAAAGAGTAGAGAGAAATATGGATGAATATTCCATGAAAGACTGAGTTTTAAAGTTAATGGGTGAAAGGGACCAGGTAGGGATAATAATAAAGAGTGAGATTAGGTAGAATTAAGTGACAGAACTTTATAAACGATAAACCCCATTAAATGTGAAGTATTACAGACTATAAGAGTAGATTCACAAAGGTCCTCATAAAAATGTTAGATAAATTTTTCTTAGAGGAAGTATAGTTCTATCCTGGGGCTTTTTATAGGGGGGGAAAATGTTTTTTTTTTTTTTTTTAAAGCTGACTTTGTTGAACAGAAAAGAAACAAAAGGAAATGGATACACAAAAAATGTAAGTTTTTAGAATCTGCAGCATACATTGAACTCTGCCCACCTCCCTTTAATATGTCCCTGAAAGCTTCTGACAATCCCCTTCAGGTTCAGGCAGGCAATCCCCCCTGGGGTTCTGGGATGACCTTGAGCTAGACTCTGGAGAGCTAAAAATGAAAGGATTTAAAACAATGCAAAGCCCTCCCACCGGATTCCACCTTCTTCTGTTGGCCACTTCCTTCCTTCCCTCCTTTTTCCTTCCCTTCCTGCACAAGCTACTCTGCCCCACCTTCCTTCCTGGGGAGGAGGACCTGCCCTTTCCTCTTCTATCCATGGTGCCAAAGGATGAACAATGTGACGTGGCGGGGGGGGGGGGGGGGGGGCATGGACCTGGGTGAGGGAGTCTAGAGGTAGGAAGAGGCAGATGCTATATGACCTGAAGCAAAGAGTGAGCAAGCAGAGACAGTTTACTCCTCCAGTTGCATTTCATAGGTCTTTGGCCAGTTCTCAGAAGTTTCCTTTAACTAAGCTCTCAATCAAAGAGACGGGTAATGGTGACGGCAGCAGAATTCCCAAAAGCCCACAAGAGTGTCACTTACACTACCCAAACAATGAGATTTCAGGGTCACAGAAAAAGGGTGGTGTCAGCAAAAGTTGGACAATAAAAAAGGCTGAGTGCGGAAGAATTGATGCCTTCCAACTGTGGTGCTGGAGAAGACTCTTGAGAGACCCCTGGACAGCAAGGAGATCAAACCAGTCAATTTAAAGGAAATCAATCCTTGAATATTCATTGGAAAGAGTGATGCTGAAGCTCAAGCTCCAATACTTTGGCCACCTGATGCGAAGAGTCGACTCATTGGAAAAGACCCAGATACTGGGAAAGATTGAAGGAAGGAGGAAAAGGGGACGGAGGACAGAGGACGAGACGGTTGGATGGCATCACCGACTCAATGGACATGAGTTTAAGCAAGCTCTGGGAGATGGTGAAGGACAGGGAAGCCTGGCGTGCTGGTCCATGGGGTCACAAAGAGTCAGACAGGACTGAGCGACTGAACAGCAGCGAGAAACAAAAGGGAGCTCAATCTAGGGGGCCATTTGCAGTCTCCCTTCTGCTGTCCACCGTCCTCTGAGAGAAAAAGGTGGACAGGAAACTGGGAAAGAGGCAGAGATGTCAAGAGGGTTTCGGGGAGTCTTCAAAAGGCTGAGAACAGAAAGTAGCTTGTGTTAGGTAAGGGAGCCAGCAGCTAACAGAAAAGGTAAGACAGAGCAGTCGCCCTCGAAACAAAAGCATTAAACCAGCAAAGGACGACAGCGTGGGGGAGGGGCAAGGTCAAATGGAGTCGTTTTTTAAGGCAAAGCTCTGGGGTGAGGGCCAAACTTGAGCACAAAAGAGAAGGCACTCCAGGAGGCGGCTGTGAGAGGTGGAACGAGTCAGAGATGAAGATGAGAGTGGAAAGAAATCAAAGGGTCCGTCGAGTGAAGGGGGGCTCGAAGGAAACGCGCCCGGGAGGGCCCCGCTTTGTTAGGCGAGGGCGGCGGCGGGGGCTGCACGTGCAGCAGGGAGCGCCCGGGGCTGCGGGGCTCCACGCCGGGGAGCGCCCAGGAGGAGGCGCGACCCGCGGGAGGCGACCCTCCCGTTACACGGGCCTCTTGCCCGCGGGCCCCGCGCTACAAAAGGGGCGCATTGTCAAGTCCCAGGCCGCAGCAGATTGCGGCTGTCCTGCCATACCCTCGCACCCTGGCACCGCGCCACCGGCACCACCCGGGGGTTGGAAATAGCTGCGCCGTTCCCATGGCGACCAGGCAGCGACTCCCGCCCCCACCGCCCGCCCCAGGCCGGTCCCGCCCCGCCCGCTGCGCAGGTCCGCCGGCCCGCGCCACAGCAGCCTCCCTCCCACCTGGGCGCGCCCCGCCCCCGTAACCTTGGCAACTGTGGCCGCCGCAGGCGGTTGCGAAAAGCGCCTCCACGAACACCGCCCGGCCGGGTCCCGCCCTCCCGCCAGCTGCGCAGCGGGCAAGGGCCAGACCAACTCTCGGGCGGGGTCCCCGAAAGGCCCGGCCGCAGGCGCCGAGGGAGCCGGCGCAGGAAGCCTTCCCTCCCCGCCGCCGGCCTGCCCGGAAAGGCGGGAGCAGGGGAGGAAGCTCCCCGGCGGCCGAGGCTGCGGGAGCGTTACGCGGGCCGTGTTGTCTCCTCGGAGTCTTCCCCGGCCCCGCCTGACCTCCAGCCCCTCGAAAGCTTCCCGAACCTCCCCGCCCTTCCTCCGGCAATGGGTGGAGGCTTTGGCCGAGGGTCCGCGGCCGGCGCGGCCAGGTGAAAGGGAGGGCCGGAGAAATAAAGCTCTCTCTCCTGCCCGACCGCCCGGAAAAACGGGGAAGTGTGGGGCGAGGGGTCTGGGCTGGAGGGGGAATCGCCGTCGGGCGCGGGGGTGGTCCGTTCCAGGGAGCCCTCCTCAAGTGCATTGCACCTTGTGAAAAGTCCCTTTAGCTCCTGGATGGGATCGACGCCCCCACCCCGCCCCTCCCAGAGGAAGATTTCCACGGTGCGTCACCCTCCAGCTTTTGTTTGTTGATGTGGTGTGCTAAAGTATTGCGGATCCTCAAGTGTCTCAATTTCCAGGTAATTGGCTGAGAATTGAGACTGACCGACCAAACGGGGTAGGGTGGGGGTAGAAAGTGAAAGTCGCTCAGTAGTGTCCGATTCTGCGACCCCATGGATTGTATCCATGTAATTCTCCAGGCCAGAATACTGGAGTGGGTAGCCTTTCCCTTATCCAGGGGATCTTCCCATCCCAGGGGGAAGAAAGGGGCAGACCCAAAGAGTGTTCCTTCCGCCATCCCTCTTCAGGGGCGCAGCCTACCCCTGACTTCTTGGAAGGCGAACTCCTTCAGGGTAGAGACCATGGCACGTTAAAGATTCTGAACAAAATGAACGTTTAGTGAAGGGATATGATTAAAACCAGGTAGTGCTTACCTCATTCAGTTGTCCTGGGTGGGCAGGGCATCCCACGGCATATAAAGTATTCAAGGTACCTTGAAATTTGGTCCCATATCAAAGAAACCTAATACAATAATTAATACTCTGTATTTGTAAAGTCCTTTCCTCTTTAAGAATGTTACCTCATTCCATATATATTTGCTGCTTCAAATTCCATAAAATTCCAGAGCAGAAGAAAGGATTCATATGGGGCAAATACGTTTCCAGCTCTCCATGATCAGAGTGGAGGAGCATGTAGAGTTGAATCGACTAGTTCTAAGAGCCCTGTGTTTTCTTTGAAGTGGCCTACTGGGGTTACTTTAGTATGGTGGAAAGAGTTTGGGGATGTAAGTCAAAGGACCTAGGCATGAGACTTGCTGGGCCATTTAGGTGTAAATTTCCTCATCTGAGAAATGATTGCTGTGAAGATGAGATAATGTATGAAGTATTCTTCATAAGCCATAGGATATGCCACACAAGTGCTTGGTTACTGGGACACCTATAAACTGATATACAAGTTATAATTCATATACCGTAGCTGCAAATGCTTTCCCAAGACATTAATGGTTATTTCCCCAGATATACTAGTAAGACACAGACAACCTCTTTTCCAGGCACCTCTGAATGGGGGAAGAAATTCAGTCGTTTTTCCAGGGCCACTCCTCCTGTATCCTTGGCTCAGACTGGCATCAAAACACCAGATGATTTCCTTTTTACTTCTTAGCCTACTAAGATGGCTTCAACTACCACACGACCCCAGTGTAGACACCAAAACCCAAGCCCAGAAGAGCCGCCCCAATAAGAGACGGGAGTTATAAAAAGAATAAATGTTGACACAGGACCAGAAAGACAATCTGTTGTCCAGAGAACAAGACGAAAGGGTCTGTGGACTCAGAGAGATGCCAGATCTGCAAGCTGGGGCACCTAGGGGCGGGACTGAAGGGAGCTCTGTGTGCTTTTGAATCTCTTTTAATATTACTATGAAACTGAATTGTGTTCCCAGCTCTTCCTTGTGTATTTTGGCGCCCTAACTCCCAATGTGACTGCATCTGGAGATAGGGTCTTTAGGAGGTAATTAAGTGAGTGCCCAAGGATTGTGGCTTTATAAGAAAAGGGAGAAGTGATCAGCCCCATTACTATCACAGGTGTGTATACAATGAGAAGGCAACCATCTGCAAGCCAGGAAGAGAGCCCTCACTAGAACCCAACCATGCTGGCACACTAATCTCAGACTTCCATCCTCCAAAACTATGAGAAAATAAATTTCTGTTGTGTAAGCCACCCAGTCTGCAACATTTTGTTACGGCAGCCTGAGCAGACTAAGACAAATATGTCTTGCTTGAAGCCGAGCACCCTTCCTACCACCTCTACCACCTGGCGTTTTGTTCAGCACTTCCACAGTTGTCTCATTTTTAATTCCTCACTGTGTGAGTTGGAATTGGCAGGATTTATTTTTAAATGAAAGAGCTAAAACTCAGAATGATTAAGTGACTGTGCTGAAAGTCACACAGACTGTGAATGGGCCAAACCAACACTTAAGTCTCCCCAGACTATAGCTAGTCAACTAATGCTAAGTACTTCCCATGTGCTTGATTCTGATTTGGATGTTGGGACTAGAAAGATGACTATGATTTAGAGATGGGAAGGGCACAGTCTGGTCAGAAAGAGAAACACGTGAACAAACCATTACAGCAAGGAGGACTGTCTACAAGAATAATTGGCCCAGCAGGTTTGTGGGGAAAGCATTCCAGGCAGAGGAATCCTGGGAAAACATGGCTTCTCAGGGAGCTACAGTCTGCTGAGAGCTGAGTACAGTGGAGGGAAGAAAGAGGCAGAGATGCTCCACACGCCACTGGAGATACTGTTCCTCTTCCTTCTGCCCAAGGACTCTGATTGCCTCCTCAGAGGCCTTGCCAAAGGGGAGAACCAAACGTAACAGAAAGCAAGGCAGTCCCCAAGGGGCCTAGTACCCTTACGGAGCGGCAACAGTGAACTCTGCAGTTAGGCTCACACGGACATTCTATCGCAAATTAGGTTTGTTTGATTGTTTGAGCCGGGGGTCTCCTAAGGGTTAGGCCCTAGCCATTTTGTAAATAATCAAAAATGTGCTTTAATTAGAAGACATGAATTGCATACCTATGACTTTTACCAGCAAGTGTCAATGTTCACATAGAATGGCTAGCTTCCAGAGGAACAAAGTCTTTAACTAATAGAGGATCATCCCTCACAATAGAAATGCAGAAAAGGCCCTTAGTTAATGAAGGGACTAACATCTATCTGTTCTGTTTTGGGAGCATTAGCCCAAGTTCTTAGCAGTTAGATATGAGGATTCACTTTCTACTGTTTTCTCTATGAATACAAGTTGCATGCTTGTGTTTATCACATCTTGAATCAACTCTGCCTTTCAGTGATTTATTAAATTGCAGCACTCGAATGCCCTCTCTGGGGGGCAAGACTGTAGGTTGGGGAAGAAGTGATCCCAGAAGGGCTACTTGCAGTCTCCCAGAAGTTGAGTACGAGAGGTTTGCCCACCTCCCCAGGGTGCTCAGTCCGCACACAGGCCAACAGCCAATTTAGGGACTGGTTCTGGGATTTCAACATCTCTCTGCCTGGGACCAAATGAAGACTATCACCTCTGCCTCACTGGAGACCTCATTAGAACTTGAACTCTGGTCTTTGTTCTTTCCCAGAAGGTTCAGTATAGTGGAGAAGTTGAGGGTAGAAGGGGGATCGGTAAACCTACAGCTCCCAGAGCAGCAAGTGTCCAATAGCCTCTGAGAACTGGATGGGAGTAAACAAGCAATTACCTACAAGACAGACTGGTAACTGGAAAAGTGGCTGAAAGGGTTTGATTCTGTTCACCGTCTGAAAGGATGACGGCCTTCCCTCCAGCTCCGTCACCTCTTCCTAGCTTCTCAAGGCTAATTTCACCACCTTCTGCTTACTTTCCAAGTGATAATCCATGGCCCCAGGGCTGAGAGGCAGAAGGTTCTGTTCTGGCTACTATCTTATTGGCCTGGCCATTGCCAGCATCACTTCTCTTTGTCTATCCTGGGAAATGGGGAAAGAATCAGGTGCTGCTACCCCCTCCCTACTCCAGTAACCCTACAGCCTTCAGAGCCTTTGGAAAGAGAATTTAGCAAGAAAGAGGTGACTCAGAATTTTCTTTGCAGAAACCAGAGTGGGAACCCAGCTGGGCTGCAGAAAGAATGGGATCTGAGCAAAAGAAACCTCACATTCCTTTTTCTGTTTGGCTGTGAGCTCCCCCACTGACTACTGTTGCTAGGTCTCCATTCTTTTTTTCACTTTTTCTAGTTTGTGTGTGCATGCTCAGTCACTTTGGAGCCTTTGAGACCCCATGGACTCTATCCCATCAGGCTCCTCTGTCCATGGGATTCTCCAGGCAAGAATACTGGAGTGAGTTGCCATGCCCTCCTTCAGGGGATCTTCCCGACCTAGGGACTGAACCTGTATCTCCTGTGTCTAATGCATTGAAGGCAGATATTTTCCCCCCTGAGCCACTGGGGAAGTCCCCATCGATTCAGATCCTGACACTGAAAGGCCTCTACACAGATAAGATTAAGGGCCCCCCGCACTTATCTTCAAAGAATTTACAATCTGATGGGGAAGGGAGGAGGAAAGAATTTCAGGAAGTTAAAATACAAAACATGTACCTAAATAACAATCAAGACAAGGTACCATAGGTGTCTAGGAGAAGTGCCGCTGCAGCTACTAGTCCAGTCATTTCTCACCTGAGTTATTGAACCACTCTAACCAGCCCTGCCTCACCCTATCTCTTCTTTCACTCAGTCTTTGGGAACTCAGTACAGAAACAACCTCCTCTTCCCAAGAACCCCTCCCTGATGCTCCAGTTAAGTACCCCTCATCAATGTCCCCTTATCACCACAATATGAAGCCTGAATTCTAGGGAGTTCTTCATCCCCCTCCCCTCTAAATATCAAGTTCCTTGCTCATCTTTGTACCTAGAGCCCAGCACAGAGTAGACAATAAACATAAAAGGCTGCACGCCTGCAGAGGAGTTCACGGAGAGTATGGGAAGTCAGTAAAGGCTTTTGACTCAGAGGCTGATAATACCATGAAAACTCTATGGTAAGCTGAGTAATCCATTAGTTATTCAGTGCTGGCGGGAGGGAGGTTGAGGGAAAGGGGAGAACAGAATGAAGTGGTAAGGGCTGGAAGAATGACGAAGGCAACAGTGGGGACCACAAAGGGGATGGAAAACGAACTTCATGGGGAGGAAGTGCTAGAAGCTTGAGCTAGATGTTTGGATGTGTTGGCAAAAGGGGGAGGTGAGGCAAGGGAGGCCAAGGTTTGCACCCT